TTGATTTTCGAAACTCGTCAAGAATCGAAACGCATTTATTCGCAGTGCAAGTGCAACAACCGGAGCCAGAGCAAAGTGCAACGCCAACCCGATTCTCTGTTTTCGCCCGCAGGCGCTTCTCTCGACATTTGCAAAAAGCACCGGGGCTGCCTTCAACTGCTGCTCGTTATGCGGCAATTACTCGACAAACAATTTTTACCTTTAGCCCCAAGTTCAAATTTCAAAATCAAAATCAGCAGCAGCCGCAGCCGCAGCCGCAGCAGCAGCAGCGGTAAAAACCTGGACCTGCAGCCAGGTAATTGGGCTCCTCTCCCCCACTCTTGTAAGATTTCCCATGGGTAACCTGTTGGAGCGACCGACCGTCCACCGAGCAACTGTAATCACTCACTCAAGTCGGGGGATCTGCACCGGGAAACTAGCACTGCTACGTAGGTTTGAATGGAATATGATTTAAATGGCAGATACTGATATACCTATTAATATACAATATTCCGCCTATAAAAGGGATTTACTTTTCTACTTGAAAAGTAGAGTTGCCGCCTGAGTAAGCCACTGCATTTCTTTCGGTGTGCGACTGTAGCTGGGGAACAACTCGAGCGGTCCGAGGTGTTAGCCAGTCAGTTTGTCAGTCTGCCAGAGTTCGCATAGGGACACGAACTTCAAATCAAAGCCGGGCTAAGTGCCGGTTTGTGGCCCACAAAGGGACGGCAGATTTGCATGTGGCAGGCCGCGCTGGGAGCTTTGGCGCTTGGAATGCGGCGGGCCGTATAAATAGTTATAGATTGTTGCGCTTTTTCGGCAGCCTTGCCGGCATCTATCTCACTACTCACAGGTTGCCTTCGGAAGGGCAGACAACTTAATTGTGATGCACCGCAAAATGCTGCCGGTGCATGTGCAATGGCGGGTTTCCATTCGAGAATTTAGGTTGCCAGCGGAATGTGCACTTCCCATGGTCACTGCAAGCTGAAATTTCATTGCAAAATGGGAAAAGCAGAGATCAGCAGCCATCTTAGGCGGAAATACTGTGCGTTCTGAAATTCAAATTATAGTTTTTTAACCATCTATTCTGTTTTATCTTCTTCTAAAGAATGGGCTTCAAATGACTACATTCCCCTAACCAAATGTATGTCATAACATTTATAGTTCTTGTTTTAACTTCCAGAATGAAACGCATAAAAAGAGCCTGGCTCATTCTCCATTCATGGCTGGAATGCCTGCTATTGAAAAGCCATTGGCACTTCCCCAGAAACGCAATACTCCGCTGGGGAGTCTTGGCAACAGGATTTAAGTAAAAACAATAACATAATTTGTGTTCGATTAGCACCTCATCCCCCAACCGCCGCCGCCAGCTTGGCCGCCCACAAATGCAGTCGAAATTGGCTATAAGCCGGCAATTAGCAAACATTTTCACGCACTGCACGCGTTCGCGATGTTTGCCGAGTGTTCGCTGATGGCCAAAACGTGAGCGAGGCGTGAGCATAAATACGATGGAAAATGGCAGTAATTAACGAGAGTGGAAATCGGATTCGGAATGGAAATGGGAATACGAGATGAGGCGGGGAGATTCCCCGATCCGTTGGCAGTTCAGCGCCCGTTTTCATAAACATAAAAAGCCAATTTCAATAACATTTTCCATTCGCGGCGGGTTTTTCGGTGTCGATGCAACATGAAACGGCGGCAGCAGCCACATTTGCTGTTGCTGTTGCAGCAGCAACAGTTGCTGTTGCTACAAATTTGTTGCAGCCAGAATATCGTTTATTGAAACATTAATTGCCCATGTGAAAATCACTTCTCGTTGCCATTTAGTTCAGTTCGGTGGCCGCCCGCCGAAGTGAATTTGCGTTTCTGGCTGCTCCTCCGTCTTTACAAACACTTGTTCAAATCGCATTGGCTTTTCCTCCATTTTTTCCTTTGGGGTCGGCGAATGTTGCCCCCAGCCAGCTTCCTTCTGCCGATGCGATAATTGAAATTTGATGTTGGACATTTTGTGTGCTATTTCTGCTGATGTAACTGGCAGTTTGGTCGGAGATGTGTGCACTAACTAGTTGGGGAAGTTTTTGAAACATTGCCTAGCGAATAAATTAATAATGACATTTCCCAAGTACAGCCATTCCCAACATAGCACTTTTGATTAATTCGTCTAGCATAAAACCAATATAGCCAAGTGCCCCTTGTTTGTTTACCACTTCAACTCTCCGAATGGCCCCTTGACAGTTCTGCGCATTCTCGCAGACAATTTGTTGAGCCTATGCTAATGTTCGGGTCTTGACAATCGACAATTGAAATGCCTTCAATTGCACCTCACGGCTTAATCGCAAGGCACAGGCAAGTCAGCAATTGTAACACCTACACTGGACAACACAAAACGATTGACAACCTGAACTGTCAACGCATTGAAAATCGCTTGAGTGACTGCCATGGGTGACCACGCCCCTTAGCCCGCCCAGAAAGCACTGAAAACAAATTTATTACAGCATGACAATAGTGAATTCACAAGGTATTTTTGTATGTTTTTTATTTGGGATTCTTGTCTGTTTTAGGGTTACTAATTTAGGGTTAATAATTTCTTTCAATTCGTGTGGAAGTGAATACAAGCTAATTTAATTTCCTTTAAGTGTGGCCTTTCGACGCCGGTGGCAGCCGAGGCAGAGCGAGAAAACATGTCCACACAACAAGGAAAAATAAAAGAGTTTCCATAATGAAAATGTCAACCCGTTGGCGGAGTGCAAAGTCCATTTTATTGCCGCGGGGTGGGTGGGGGAGGTAGTGCTTCGGGAAGGGGCAGATAAATAAGAGTATCGTACGGCATACGGCAGCAGAGGTAGACAATAGTTCACAGACTGCAACTGCGAAATATCACGCGTGATTCATCGGCTGCCGCAGCAGCAGCAGCAGCAACAACTGCAACATTTGCAACTGCAACACCCACGCACGCACAAATGCATGTGGAAATGCAAATGCAAATGCGTTTTTTATGCTTGTTAGAGCAACGCCTGCATCGCCCGATGGAAATTGTGAACTTTTCTTGTTTATTAAGCCAGCCAAGTCGTAATTATGCAAAACGGGCCAAGAGCTACAAGTATGCTGTTGATGGAACGAGAGCGAATACTATGCCTAATTGCATGCAAAGGGATTGCCAAGGATATGTACCTATATTGGTTCTGAGATTTCCATTTCAATTAGGTATTGGGTATATCTACACATATTTGGCACAATATGGCCAAATGATTTAAAGGGATACAGTATCTTTTAAATGACAAGCAATTCCATTGGTAGATGGATTTCCCAGCAAAGGCAAGTCAGATTTCAGCCGTTAGTTTGATTACACAATTGCCAAATATTTGTCAGGAGCGAAATGCGACTCAACTGCCATTGTACTTGAACTCCGCACTCGATAAGCTAAGCAGCCAAAGTGCAAAGCCGCCAACATGCAACCAGCAACAAGCAGCAATCGACAACTAGCAGCAACACCAAACACCCAGGCAACCGAAATCGCAGTTTGCGGCCTGAAATTGCAGACAGAAACACGGTTTGTGGCATTCAAAAGCGATTTGCACCATCAGATCGGCGAGATAAGCATTAAGAATCTTTGGCAGAAATTGGTTAGCTTTGAGACACAATGCATTTTTACTTCGCTCCAGTGATTTACTTGGCGGCATGGAAGGGTAAATAGATGGAAATTAGTAACCATCACAAAATGAAGAAAAGTCCTCAAATTTAAGATTACACATTTTATAGATTCAATGTTGAAGAAAAATATGGTTATATTCACATGTTGGTGAAATAGATCAAGTAGTAATACAAGTTATATTTCAGAATATCCCTATGATTTCAGAAAGAGAGCAAATCTTCTCGAAAAGGGTATGCGGTTTTCCCTCCGGCGAGGAAACCTTTGCTTTCAGGGTGCCGCTGGCGTCGATCGATCGGCAATCGCTGGATGAAAAGCCGACGTGACCCGCTTTCTGGGCCTGCAGCTCAAAGGGCTCCAGCCCCTCAGACAGTAGCACCCACCTTGGTGACTCGGACCCGGATTGGTTTTTTTTTTTTTTTTGGCAATTTTTGGCATCTCCGGCTACGACAATTTGGCAATCATTTGCATATCGATGTAGCGATCGGTGCAGCTTTTGCCGGGGAACGTGTTGGCATTTTGCAGAGGCTTCAGCTGCCCACGGATGACTATGACTTCCAACTCAATTAGAAGCCTTAGCGTCGATTGCTTGTTGTTTACCCGCAGTTACTGAAATCGAAACCGAAATGCGAGTTCAATGTTTTGATTTTGAAATGCGCGCTGAAAATCCTTGAAAAGTGTCATCGGCCACGCCAGATTCATTTACAAAATAGTCGAAATTCTTCCGCAATAAAAGAGAAGAAAAACAAAAGCCTGCGGGGTATGGAGATGATCTATTTATGAGGCGAAATCCACTGCCCGAGACGTGTCTCCTTGCGGCGAAGAGTCAACGCACTTCGCTTCGCGCCTCATGAATTTTACTACAATTGCCGCTTTACGCACTTTTATCTGAATATCTGTTGCCTGAAATTCTGTTTGCCTCCTTTTCTCTGTGAATTTTAATCTAATTTATTGTTGCTGGCGAGGCGCAATTTTTCTGAGCGTACAAATTCCGAGGCTGGGGGGGAAAATGTGCGATTCGACCAGGAGAAATAGGATTGCTTGAAAACCTGTAAACCTCTCTTTGAGTTAATTTATAACGTTCAGTTAAGACATTTATTTTATACGTTTATTTTAAATTCTATTATAACGAAAACACACTTCCCACTAGCGACATCTGGCGGTGAGCAGACATACTAAGCAGCGCTCTGCTTGAACTGCTTGCCTGGTTGTGGCATTCGCTAAGACAGCTGGTTCTAAAAGCAGAGAACACAACCGGCCACCAAGTGTGACCGTTCGCATTTAATGTGAAAATACCTCAGCAAGAAGATCTACCTTAAAATACCGAAGGTACGCAGTGGTTTGGTATGACCCCCGCGCGCGTAGCTGGCCACACCATTCCAATCAGAAAAACCTATTTAAGCAACTCGCATCGATCTCTCCGAAATCGAAATTTGTGGCCGCAGAGTGAATCGGAAATCGGCAGCGGAATAATGGGCAATTTCGACGGCGACTCTGGGACGGTTTTCGAGCAGAGCTATGCGACGACGAACGGAAACGGAAGAGTGCCGACGGAGACCAGTTCCCCGGAGAAACAGGAACTTCTACGGAAATTCTCGGCACCCGCGTACACTGAAATTCGCACGCGACGCTGCCAGCCGAAGGCCGCAAACGACGTCCAGGTGAGCCAGGCATTTCGCTCAGTGTGTGTCCGAAACCAAAATAACGAGCCAAAGAGCCATAAAAATTGGCCAAAAATCGCGTGGTGCCACTGCTCGCGCTCTCCCTCTCGCTCGCTCCTCCAGCCGGCGAACCATTGATTTTGCGCGAGAGCGTGTGAGTGCGAGAGAGAGAGCGAGAGGGCGTGCGTCAGCTGGAGAATTTCGGCCCAATTTCGACCAATTTGCCGCCCTTTGGGGCGATTTTCCTCCGCTTTTCCCGCTTCTGGGTCATCCGAGCAGCACAGCTGTTTTTCCTCCACTGCAGTGTTTTCCTTTTCGCCGCAAGTGCCGACCTTTTGGAGTATTTTGGCTACTTTCAGCTGATAGGAATCAATCCAGTCATAATACCAATGCTAGAAAATGCTTATCTCCCAAATATATTATATTAAATATTTTCAGATTTTATCTTCGATCGAATAGTTATTTTGAGTTTAAGAACAACAAACTTGCTATTTCAATGTTCAATATAATTTCAAGTAGTCTTCATATACGTTCCTTGGATAAACATATGTAGCTATCCACCTGGCATACTTTCAAGGATCAAAGATAAGATAAATCAATGGCAATACAAGCTAACACATTATCGGAAAACCATACTTTGACCAATAAATTCAGCTATTGGAACGTTTGGAGTAATAACTCTTTTGGATGTGTGCCAAACAATTGATTGGTAATTGATTGATCTATAATCTAGTCAGTGTCCCTTCTGCGGGACTCCTGCACTCATTCGGAATTTTCCTAAAGACCCCAAACCAAACACACAAACTTGTGCACATAAGTACGTAGTTTGGGTGCACAATGTTTGCGGGGAGAGCTGGCCGGGCTGGCATAATATTGTCATGCCACGCCATGCCCGGCCAGCCTTATCAGGGCCATTCCAGCAGACTTTTACGTAAAGCCTCGCAGAATGCGATTCGCTGGTGAATCACAATGCTCCGCAATCTGCGAAGGCAGCGGCTTTCGGTGGGCGTTGATTTGTCGGTGATAAGGTTTTTGTTAAATTCGGGAGAGTGAGTGCGTCTGGGTTGGCGGAGAAAATGGAGAACATTTTATTACATATTAACTTTTTTAAGAGATAAGATACAAATATTGAGGTACTACCTTACACCCATTAAGTAATTCCAATTTCATTCGGTCCTTGGGCACTAAGCCACTGCTAGATTGCTGAAAACCTTTCACGATGTTTGGTAGTTTGTATTTGTATCTGATAGCTTTGTATTTCTTTTTCGGAACGTAGTACAACGTTCTCCATAGAATTTATTTAATGAAAAAGTTCCGTACCATGGCGACAACTTAATAATTCGTTAGGTGATTGATTTAATGGCAACTAAGAACTTTTAAGGCCAATAATTTTTCATATCTCCACCTATTCCTAACCCTATATCTAACTTTTATCAACTCGACAAGATTACAGTATGCCCGATTTTTAAGATACAGACTTAAATAAAAAAGAAGTGTTTAAGAATATGAATGCGCAAAAGCAATTATGTACATACTGACTCACAAGTAATACTTCTTAGAATTCCCACAAGAGAGGTTAGAACTCTGGTCGATTGTCAGTCGATATCTTGGATTCCATGGATCCACGACATATGGAAGTCATTATCTGGATCCCACCCCATGCCCCTCCCTGACTGTCCTTCTGCACCCGACCCATCGCGTAATTAGTATTACACATTTTCTGTTTATTTATTTAAGTCGGTTTCGATTTAGATCTTCCTACGGTCGCTTCGAGTTCGTCTATATACCTGGTCTATATAACACCGGGACTCCATTAAATAACTCGGCAGCGCGTAACCCACTTGGCTGTTCGCCCCCTCACTCCGTCTCATCGTGTTTAGTAAACAAGCCCGGTGGCAAATGATAATAAACACGAAATATTATTGTCGCCGACTCGTTATTGTTATACGATTAAGCTGGCGCTCAAATCTACACATATATCGCAGTATATATCTGCTGTGTGTATTGCTCTGTTAATGAGATACAGTCTATCGGATCCTTTGGCCGCCAAATAAATAAGCAAATTATATGTACACCTAAACGAGTAAGTTAATTATAACGCTCCAATTGTTAGCTAGTGGGTTGAAGTGTGCCAAGTTGGGCACACAACTATCTATGGCTTCCCCCGAATGATTGTTGTGTCTCTTTTGGTGTGACTTCATGTCGAACTCGGCTCATGTGAGCGACGGAGCAAATTGTTCACCAGTTATCGTCCGACTGTATTTATATGCGTACCTTGCATGTATGGACCTTTCAGTTTAATGCTAATTGACTGATGAACGCGTAGAACGGGCAAGCGAGTTGAGATGTGCTATCCACACAGCCCAAGGCTCAGTAAAATAGAATCATTCCCTAGTTAGCAAAGTTCGTACACCTAAGAACTATAACCTCTAGTGAACAACAAGTATACCAATGTTTTGATTTACTTTTGAATGGGCTTTAAGGTGTTGATAACTTACAATTCCCCCCGTCCAGCATATCTGATTATCTACCCCCTGATTATTGATTTTTAATGAAAATTATGAAAGCCAGTCACTAATCGTTAATGCACCCCTCTTACAGAGTCCCAGCTCGATCAACTACCATCCGGAGAAGAAGTCGATCCCCAACGGGCATGCCTCCGTTCTGGATCAGGAGTCCAAGCCCAACCAGGCAGAGGGCAAACTTTCGCCGGAGCTGGAGCACTTCCAGAAGACCTCCTTTGAGGAGGTGCCTCTGCACACCGCCTGCCTTACGTATCTGGGATTCTACCTGCTGATGATCCTGGGCTACATCAACCAGCTGCTCTTCGTGCCCAAAGTGGCCACCGAGAAGGGTCGGGATGGTTATGTGGCCCTCTACGATGCCTTCGAAAGCTTCTACTCGAGGTACGTTTACAGGAGGATCAAGGATTGCTGGAACCGACCCATCTGCAGTGTTCCGGGAGATGAGCTCACTCTGAAGGATCGCGTGACTGATGACTACGGATGGAGTTTCAAGTTCACTGGAACGGAGACACGTTGCTTAAATCTGGGATCATACAATTATCTGGGATTTGCCGCCGCTACTGGACAGTGTGCCGATGATTCAGAGCAAAGTGCTCGGAACTCTGGATTGGCCTACTGCAGCTCCCGCTGCGAGCTTGGTGACAACGAGCAGTTGCAAGAGCTGGAGGCTCTAACTGCCCGATACTTTGGCGTGGAGGATGCCATTGTCTTTGGAATGGGTTTCGCCACAAATGCACTGAACCTTCCCTCACTGCTGGGACCCAACAGCCTTGTGATCAGTGACGAAAAGAACCATGCCTCCATCATTTTGGGGCTGCGTTTGTCCGGTGCCACCACCAAGGTCTTTAAGCACAACAATATGCGGGATCTGGAGCGCGTGCTCCGCCAGGGTGTGTGCTATGGAAATCCCAAGAAGGGTGGTCAGCCATGGGATAAGGTCATGATCCTGGTCGAGGGCATCTTCAGCATGGAAGGATCCATAGTCCGATTGCCCGAAGTTATTGCACTAAAAAAGAAATACAAAGCATACTTGTATCTGGATGAAGCTCACAGTGTGGGAGCCATGGGTTCCCGTGGACGAGGAGTTACTGATTACTTTAATGTGGACCCGAAGGAGGTGGACATCCTGATGGGCACCTTCACCAAAAGCTTTGGCAGTGCTGGAGGCTATCTGGCTGGATCTAAGGTATGCGTGATTGTCTCCATCTTCGCGTATCCCCCACTAATCAGTAATCTATTATCCTTCCCAGAAACTCATTGACTTTCTCCGCACCAACAGTCATGCCCACTGCTATGCTGCTTCGATCTCGCCACCCATCGCACAGCAAATCCTTACCTCCATGAAGACCATTATGGGTGAAGATGGCACCGACATTGGACGCAAGAAGATCCACCAGCTGGCCAGGAACACACGCTACTTCCGCCGACGTCTGGCTCAGCTGGGAGTGATCACATACGGTCACGAGGACTCCCCAGTGGTGCCCATGCTGGTGTACCTCTTCTCCAAGATTGGGTAAGCAGAGTGGCATACAAGCGAAAGCGTTTTGTAGTTACAGCTCTTTGCTAAACAATATTTTATCTTTGTAGCGCCGTGGTGCGAACCTTGACGACCCGCCACATTGCCGCGGTGGGAGCTGGATTCCCAGCCACACCCATTATGGAAGGACGCATTCGATTCTGCCTCTCGGCCGCCCACACCAAGGAGCAGCTGGATTTTGCCCTGGAGGCGATAGATGAGATTGCCGATGACCTGGGCCTAAAGTATTCTCGCAAGCCACGCGATCCGAATCCCGTAATTTACTAGAATCACGCGCGCACACATAGATGTTAAGCTTGGGGAAAAGGTAACCTCCCCGATTGGTAAACCAAAACTACAACACAGTCCAGATAGTGCTAAATCAATCACGAACGGCAACGAGTGGCTTACATTGACCAAGTTTCAGTTGCACTGGACTTCTATTTATGACTAATTCTCTGGTAAAATGCCTTGAAAGGGAAGATCACTTTAGCAACAGAAACAAAACACTACACTAGCTTAAATAATAATATATTATTAATTATTTAGCACTAAACCTCTACGTAGTTGTTATTGTATATGTAAAATCCAATCGTCTTCTTTGGTCGGCTGCTGCATTTTAAGTATTTATAGAAGATTGGCAGCGCAATGTATTAGGCAAATCAGGTTTTGGTTAATTTTAGAGCTAAGCTATGGGAACTCCCTTTTTCGTGGGACAGCCGAGCACCTCGCTTCTACCAATTAAGCATATTAAGCAGAGCCAAATGTAACGTCTAAGGCGTGGGCGATACTATTGTAGCTCACTATTTTGGCCAGTCTTCGAGGAACCTAGAGGGCCAATTTAGTGGCATTGTCAGGAAATATATATGTATAATGATTATGTATTATTGATTTTATTTTTTCATCAAAAAATAAAAAAAACTGTTGCTTTATCTATTACATTTAGTTTGAATATGTAATTGGAGGTTTTTACTGTAAAGATGCCTAATATGTTGGTATGGATTTCATTTTCGAAGTCCAATAATGCAAATATTTATTTAAAAAATATAATTCTTTGCGGACAACCTGTTTCAGATGTATCTTATAGTCGGAAAACATTTGCTTTTATTTTACATGACATTTTACATAACTTTTGCGACCTCTACAGTTAATTTACAGAAGTTGGATGTTCGACGCTTGCATTAATGTAGAAAATTCGATACCTGTTATTTTTGAGATAATATAAATTAAAGCTAGCCCTTTGAACCATTTTTAAGTACATGGTACATGGGTAACTTTAAAAAGATTTTTTCATATGATGGTAATTAGAGATCGGCTGCGATATTAATTGAATATCTATACCTTAGAGGTTATTTAAATAAAATAATAACAATTTTATAGCTTTGCTTAGTTAGTTCCTATCTTTTTTTCCTTCTTTCTTGAGTTTAAGACACAGACAATCCATTTCCAATGGGTCACCAATATTTGGGTTTATGTAATGGAATAAAACTCAATTGACAGTTCTACTTTAAACCCGCTCCCACCCAACACGATTCCACACTTAAAGCGTCGAAACCGAACTAACAATCCTTTGAATAACAATTTTCTAATTAACAGTAACTCATGACATCTCTACATCGCTCCCTGCTTTCCTTTTCCGGTGCTGACCACAATGGCAAATAAATTCCAATTGCAATTGTCTCTGCCTTTTAAGAAATTAAGACAAAGGGCGAACAAGGCTCAGATGGAAGGACAACAAGGGACCTGGGCGGTTGGCTTGCAAAGAGCTATGTTGGTTTATGGGCTTAGGCAATACTTTCAATTTTATATTCGGGCAATATTTATTGAGTGGTTCGTGTTGAATCTGGTGTGCATGTGGGGAGTACGTGTAAACTGAATTGAAATCCTTCGCATGGAAGAGAGCACTCGCTCCTTAAAAGTGCATTTGAATTGGTTTTAAAGTTGTACACAATCGATTGATAAACTGTTTCTCTCAAATGGTTTTATTAACTTATATCGAATACACTTATATTCAGTGCTTGTAATATTTTACACCAAACGAGTAGAATCGATAAAAATCAGGTGACAGTGCTGTGATAATTTGAAAATATACGTGCATATACTTGTATATCCCTTGGATTGGAAAGTCTAATAGAATGACAAGGCCGCATCAGTTTGGACGGGTTAATTTATGCGCTCCGCTCTGTTTACTTTTTTCAAGCTGCCAAAATGGAAAATGACAATACACGTCGGTACACACATATTTGTGTATTCTATGCATGCACGTGAGAGTGGGTGGTAGAAAGTGGGTGGTGAGGTGGTGGGGTGGTGGTGCTTTCCCAGCGAAGTTGGTGTGAGTAATTGACTACGTGCGTATAAAGTTTGTGCTGGCATTTTACCCGAGTACTGCCAAAGTGGCTGCAACAACAACGGCAGCCTTTTAGCCTGCCCTTGAGTGTGGTCAAAATTTCGGGAGTAGTGTGTGTGTGCAATCATAAATATGCATCCTGTTGGCCATTTGTCATGGCTTTTGGCCCGATGCCGCAGACTAGAGTCTGCATCTTCAACACCGCAAGTGCTCGCATTCAAATGCGTTTTCCAAAGCGTCGTTTAATAGAGATTGATAAGGATATGCGGCCAATAGGGGCCACCGATCGGACTATCAAAAAACATCAGCATTTCTGTGGCCTCAATAGCATGCTTTTATTTTTTGCTACCCTCTCTGGTTCTTTACAAATTGCTGATGCGATATTCGCGTGCACCTCGTTCATTTTGCCACCTGTATGCGTGCTCCACTCGCTCATGTTGAACAGCGGGGAAATCCATAATTTCGCGTTGTGAAGTTGCCGTAGGTGAACTATTTAAAACCTTCTATGGGTTAATATTAATATAAAAATTAAATTACAGCACTAAATCAATTTATTCAATAACGATAAATCACTACTCTGCATAATTACTGTTTAAATGCTAGAAACTGGATGGTATTGCAATCCATTCAATTTATATTTTTTTTTCTCTTTGAATTTGAGCTATTGTTTGAGGAATTTTATGTTGCTCCCCTGGTATGGCAATAGTTGTTCCTAAGTTTACAAGCCCTCAAATCCCGCGGTTTTGGCTCACAAATACAATTTTAATGTTTCCGCTTACTTTGCAAAATATGTGAGTAAGGTAGGAACACATTTGAGTTCTATTTTTCTTTCTTCCTATATCCCCAGCACGGGAAGTTGCATTTTGTGTGTTTCATAATCTGATAAAATGTTGCAAAAAGTTTCCCCTCGTCAAGCTGGCGCAAAGGGAATTTATGCAATGCGGAAAAATCCAAGTCCGAATCCCATTTGTGAACACTCGAGGCATGCAAATGGCGGCTTCTGAGTTATGCGCATACTTTTGTTAGTCACTGTGTGGCAGAAGGGGTTGATTGAGTGGCGTTGCACACCCACACCCATGCACTTGGCAAAGGCACTGATAAGCGTACGGCGATCGGAATGTGGGAGTTAAGCCGATCCTTGGGATTTTCGGATATATTCTGTATGAAACTGCTGTGAGTAAATCGATGGATACGGATGAAATCATTGTACCATACAAATATAAGCAAAATAAAAAATGAATAATACTTTATTCAAGAATGTGAGCCTAGACTTGAACACCTTTTGGCGCTAGAAGAATCAATAACACTCCACTCCGTTTCCGTTTCCTTGGCCTCCAGATAAACCATCTCCACCTTCGCACCAATTTTGATTTCCATCAACTCGGCGCCAGGACATCGCCCATCAAAGTGCAAACAAATTAATCTTCACCCCGTTGGCAGGAGTGGATTGCCAATCTGTTACACGACGCAGGGCGCAGTCAAACACTTCACTTCGGATGCTATTACTTAAGCACATGTTTTATAATACGGATTCGCTGGAACGATTTTTCATGGGCAAACGTGTCGCCCTGCTGCTCAGTTATGGAAAAAAAGCAACTGGGGGAACCTGGCGTATAGACGTGGCCAAGGACAATCAGTCATTTGCCATAAAGGCTGGCAATGAGACGTAGTTTGACTTTTGTTGCCGCTCAAGGATACGGATATGGGGATACATGTCTGCACTCGCTTTGTGCCAACACTTTTCATTCGACACACACGTTAATCAATCACTGCACCCAAAGTCACCATAAAGGTAGAGATTTAATCAAGGAATTTCCCGAGATTTTCGCCAGCAAATTTAAATGCCTGCCTGTCTGTGTCCTTGCGCCTTGCTGCGGTGACCGCAAATTAAATTTGTTGTCGAATGCTCTGAAGGACCTGGTAAGGCAAAGGAAACCCGGGTCCGACCGCAGTTTTCTAATTAATTCCATGGGCAGATAGTAATGACATTCGAATTCTGCAGACACCTTAGCACCTGTCACCAGCACATGCTAAATGTCCTGGCCCACAACTTTCGGCTCGAGTGGCTTTTCCTTGTTGGGCATCATTAAGTTCTGTGTTTTGCGGGCCGGCGGCTTCTTGTTAACATTTATGGTTATTGTTTTCTCCAGACAATGTGTGGGCGTGGTCATAGCTGGCTACGTCCCCCAAATAGGCAAGCAGTTTGTTGGCCCGAATTAAAATATCTGTCGGGCCCATATGCTGGCGCCAGTCATTTATATTTGCCAAATTAGATGATTAGGAGGGTCTGAAGTGGTGGTGGTTAAATCTTTATGTCGAATATCGAATTAAGGTTGTAAATTTCCGGTTATCGATCCGGTTTTTGTTAGGCTTGTTTGACATTGCCTTTAGCCTTGTTACACAATTATTGTATTTGTAATTATAACTGATACAATTGTAAGATTGGGATTAATTTATTATATCCTTTTTCCCAAGCTACATTTCTATCAGTATTTGTCTTAAATCGGTATAAATTGTAGCGTGCATTAAAATACACAAAAATGTCAAAATGTTGCCATTTCAAATTGTAAAGGAAATGAATGTATGAAAGTTGACATATTTTGCAGAAAATTTCAAGGAACTGCAATTCAAACTTGCTTAAAATATTGTGTTCATACACAAATGAGCTCTCCTAAATGCAGCTTGTGTTGGTTAGATGTTCTTTAGTAATTTATTTCGATAACTGAAAATATGTGCCATTCGTTGGTCAATAAACGGCGGAAGTGAAAAGGCCTTATCTTTCCAGATCCAGTTTTAATCGGGCCTAATTGGATTCCTATACGACTTTAATTAAACGGAACAAGTTCGGTGCGACGGGTATTTATTAAACACGGGTATCTGCGAAGAGTTGCATTAAAATTGAGAGCACGTCACGTGGCGTATGCGTAATTTGATTATTAATTAAATAGCCGGCCATGAACAACCGGGGCACTTAAGCGGGGGCCAATCGAATTAGGCCAGCAGAGGCGGAGAAATCCTGTCCAGATGCCGAGGCCACAAAAACAATGACCCGTGTTTAATGACAGGCACAAAGGACAATGGCCGACAGATCCTAAGCAGCATCCACAGTGGGCTCCATGGAGGAAAGGGAAGTAAACAAATCAAATGAGATTTATTATGTGACACGCATAAAACGAGGACAATCGCACGGCTTAACGAGCGGGGACACCATGTGAGCAGGACTCCTTGGCAAGTAATGCGGCAGGGCTTCCTTCGCCGGGACCATTAAATCAATTGAGTGTAAGATGGCACGCACGAGACTCGGCCACAGCCTCCATCATTCCGTTTCCAGCCAATTCCCGGAAATGCTTTCTAATTAACGCGCCTCATTTAGCAGACGCCTGGCTCGCCACTTGGAGAAATGGCCAAGATCAATCTGCTCGGGTCACGAACACTGCTCAAAGTTTAAAGTAACAAGTGGGTGTTGTATTGGCTTATATAGGGTCTGAATTATGATAAATAGCATTTACGAAAAAGTTATTGGGCAATCAGTAATGTTTTCAAATGGGTTTCGTATTCCATCAGCAAAGTGTTTACAATTAACATAA